GAACTCCGAGTCCGTACTTCGGCGGATTGGGTCGTATATGTGAATCAGAATCTGGTTCAAGATTTCCGCTAGACCGCACATTTTCATGAAACACGACGTTGAATGCGCCTGTGTCGGTGGATAGTGAGCACCGTCGGTGAAGCTCACCCCATGAGGTGTCCATATTTCGATCTCAGCGGTGTCATCGAGAATCATGCGTGGTGGACTAACGCGAGAGTGCTGCATCGTGGGCGCGCGGCCGAAGTACAATGAAACCACCTTATCCCAGAAATAGCAACTCCAAAATAGACGATTGCGTATTTCAATATCCTCATCACTCAGATGAGCAGATCCTGAATATTTCCGGCTGTCGATGGATATACCCAAGTCGTCCAGCAACCGGAAGGCCATGCCACTGTATAGCCAAGCTTGCGTCCGATTTCCACGACCGCATTCCTGGGCACTGAGAAGGAGTAATGTCTGAATGGTAGGGATGCCTGCATAACCAACTTTGAGAGAGTCGAACACCCCAGTCAATGCGCGATGGGAGAATTGTGCACCGCCGTCATAGGAGTCTAGAAGAGGACCAACCTGAGGCTCCGCTTTGCACCAGCGCACCGAGTGAGAAAGAATGGCGTTTAATAAAACGTCCGAGTAATAAGCCCCATTGATTTTCATATCACCTATTGAGGAAAGTTTAGTGACACATGTCGTCTGAAATGACAAAATCGAACATACGTGTAAATGCAGGACGGTAGACGAAATTCCACAGCGGCTGGATCCAGCACCAATGCGAGTCGAGAAGATACTGGAAAGGCTCCTGCAGGGGTGTTTTAGCATACGCGTCGTAACCTTCAAACAATCCAATCCACCAGGATCCATACCGGCATAGCAGCCATTTGCTCGAACGCCCTTTCCCGCCATGCACTATTAACAAGCCGCTCTTTGCGACCCTCCAATTCCTGCACGTAATGCGAAGTCGACGCTGTTTCACTCGCCACCCCACTAGGCAGCTGGAACAAACTAGTCGGCCCGTGAAATGAAACGCGACCGTCATTTTCCACATTGAGACCATCAAATGCCCGGGTGAGGTCTTCAGTATCGGGATCGATCTTTATCTTCGGTCCGCTCGAGCTAGACTCAGCCGACGACGGCGATCTTGTCTTCCGCACCTCTTCCCCCTCCCCGCGCTTCGATAAGGCATCCTCCAACTGCGCGACACGCGCCTCAAGCTGTTTCGTGTACGATAACGTCGGGGCTCTTTGGGAGAGGAAATAGTATTAGCAACTGCGATGATATAATAGCATAAAGAGGGGGATCGACTGACAAGCTATACACACACTGCTCGTTGCGCGCGGCGCATCGCGAACACGACGGACTAGCGCCGTTACATTTAACCTGGTGAGTAGTTAGCTCGGAAATCTCGGGCTTCGTCCGAGGGGATCCGCATGCACCTTGCGTTTGCGACAGGCCTCACATGAGAAGGCGCTCTTCCGGGGCAGACTGGTCTTGGGAGGCTCGGCCATTCCAGGAGTCGCCTTTTCAAGGTCCCAATTTGTCAAGATATATCCCCCAAAATGTCAAAATGAAAGAAAGAAAAGATAAAAATAAAACTAGGAGAAGATTTTTGGCCCCTACGTGGGGCGCGGGGATTAAGCCTTATGAGATGAAATAGTATTGACGTCGAATCAGCTTGAGCTCAAGTTGGAGTAGGCCGAAGACTTTCATTGGTGGGAGATTTGGAGATTTGGGACCTCGGAAGTGATCTAGGCCCCACCTGAGGTGATATCACTAGCCCTGAGGATACATAGGTTCAATGTTGTATAGGTTTGATAGTTACATATTCTACATATTCACCTGGTAAAGACAATTAGATATGCTTCAAATGCTATTTGCATGGTATTCAATTGTATACACGATTCATAGATCCCTTATTTCCTCCCTTTCTTGAAACCCGGGCCCTTGCCCTTACCCTTGCCCTTCTTGGGGTCTTTAGCAGACTCCGCATCACCCTTGCCCTTCTTCCACCCGAGATTACCATCGTGTCTCATCTGCGCATCATCGAGACGCTTCTTGTCCTTGTTGCTAAGTTTGACATTGCTCTTCTTGGTAGCGGGACCGTTCAATTCAACGGCGCCCAGCTTGCGAGCGACCTTCTTGTCCTTCTCGGTCTCGAACCACGTCCGCTTCGGTCGTGACATGATCTCGTTGCCATGCTTCATGAGATTCTCACCCTTGGTGAATTGCATCTCGGCTTGAGAGAACTGCTTCTCGGTCTTCTCCTCTTGCAAAACCTCGGCGACCTCGTCGGCCATATCCTCCGCCTTTTGTGCCCAGCTGTCTGCAATGGCTTGCTCGACCACACGGCTGACAATCTTGGCGCCTTGAGCCTTGCCTGCGCGGACGGCAAGTTTGACGACCTTGCGGTCGGGCTCAGCAGCAATTGTGCACGCACGACCGGAGCGGCCAGCACGGGCTGTACGTCCAACACGATGCAGGTAGATCTCATGGCTCTGGGGAGCCTCGTAGTTAATGACGGTCTCGACACCCTTGATATCCAGACCACGAGACGCAACGTCGGTAGCGAGAAGGAAGGCAACCTTGCCATCTCGGAAGTTTTCGACGGATTTGATACGCTGCATGGGAGATTAGTTTTTGTATACCTAGGACAAGAGTTGTTTTAACATACCTGTTCTTGGCTCAGACTACCGTGGAGCTCTGCTGCCTTCAATCCCAGTAGGCCGAAAATGATACGAACGCGGTGAGCTTCCTTCTTCTGTCGGAAGAAGATAATAACACGCTTTGAGTAGGCCTCTTTGCACAGGTACAAAAGGTAACCGAGACGCTTGTCCTCTCGTCCGGGACGGAGACGCACGAACTCTTGAATAAGGGTGGATACAGTGTTCTTCTTGGCATCAACCATCAAGCGCATTGGGCGGTTCATGCCGACACGAATAAGCTTGTCAATTGAGTCTGTCATGGTCGCAGAGAACAGCATAGTCTGGCGAGATTTGGGAATTGTGGTGAGAATCTCGTTCAACTCATCGGCGAAACCGTCCTCAAGCATACGATCGGCCTCATCAAGAACCAGAATCTCCAGGGTATCGACTGTGAAACTGGGGGAGTTGCGCATGTGATCAATGAAACGACCGGGAGTGGCAATGATGACATCGGGGCGCTTCTTGAGCACATTCTCCTGCTCGCGAAGACTGAAACCACCTACCAATTGACAGAATGTGACGTCTGTGAAGGTGGCCAGTTTTACGGAAACATTGTAACACTGAACAGCCAACTCACGAGTGGGCATCAGAACCACAACACGACTTGTAGGGACCTTCCGGGGACGGAAGAGGAGACGCTCGAGAATAGGCACAATGAAGGCAGCGGTCTTTCCTGAACCAGTCACAGCACTACCGACGATATCCTTACCCAGCAGAGCAACGGGAATCGCTTTGCGTTGGATAGGAGTCGGGTCTGTGAATCCAACGGCGGCGAGACCGCGAAGGATGGGGCGGGAAAGATTGAATTCTTGGAAAGTCATCTTAGCCATGTTGGCCTTGGTGTCGACCTTTTCTTCGGGAGCAAAGAACGCTTTGCGCTTCTCTGCCTCCTCCTCGTCCACCTCGCTTTCTACATCGGACTCCCGGTCTGAGCCCATGTCATCGGGGTGACCAACGGGTGTGGCGACAGAGTCGTTGTCAGATGCGGCATCGTCATCGGAATCTTCATTGTCATCCTTATCCTCATCGTCCTCCTCGTCTTCATCCCCAGAGCCAGGCTCGGGGCCCTCAGCATCACTCTCTTCCTCGCCGTCCGCACCCATGCCGAAGGCGTCGTCAGCCATGAGCTCATCGTCCTCGAAGTCAACTGGCATTTCGTCTCCCGATGCAGCCTCGTCTTCAGATGCGCTGGCGCTCTCTTCCTTCTCGGCTGCCTTCTTCTTCTGCTTCTTAGCAGCAGCCTCATCCTTCTTGGCCTGCCTCCGCTCAATGATGTCGTCAATATCGACAGCCTTCTTATCGCCGGAGCGCTTCTTCTCGTTGTCATCAATACCCCAGCCATCAAAGCCTTCGGTGACACCACGGTTCGCGATACCGCCGACATCGAACTCGAACTCGGGATTTAAGACGCCGTCATCTTCTGTTGCATCCGCTGCAGCATCATCGTCCTCCTCCTCTTCCTCTTCCGACTCGGGTGCGGGTGCAGGCTCGGCGTTCTTCTTGTTCTTCTTGGCGTTTTTCAATTGCTGCTTTTCCAGCTGCTTCTGCTTCTTGTTCTTAGGCTTGACGGCTTCGACCTCGCGCTTGCGCTTTTTGTTGTCTGCTGCTGGCGCATTATCGCCCTGCATCTCGTTGTCGTCATCTTCTTCTTCGAAACGGGTTTCGTTCTCGTCATCGGACAGCGTGAATACGAAATCATCGTCTTTGGCGGAACTCCGCTTTGCCGATTGAGGAGCCATTTTGGAGGCTAGCGCAAATTCCAGTGTGTATTTGGTAGCTGGATGTCTTCCACACTCTCTCAAACAGTCTCAGTAGAAAAACTAAGACCCCCGAACACTGTGCAAGCAACTCAATCTCGCCGAGAAGAAATGGATCAACATGCAAAAAAAAGTTCCCCGGGCGGTGACAAGAAAATTTCCGATGACATAATCAATCCGCTTCGAGATGCCCGATTGTCACCAGCTCTACTCCAAGGCTGCTTCGAATATTACATCCTATTCCAAGGTGATTGTTAAGAAAGAATTACTATAATCATACATTTTCATTAGCTACCTACCTATGTAGGCATTTCCTCTTTGCTCAATATCCCCCGTATGCCCGTTCAACACATCATCCTTTTTTTCTGGCGAGACATCCTGGATCTAAAATCCTGGATACAGACCACTTGTCCGTCATATTAGTCTCATTTTGTTTTCAACTTTTTTTTCCTTTTTCCTTCTAAACTGTTCTTCTCTCCCCGCCGCCAGATTTTCCGAAGATCATTTCCGTCCACAGTCTCCACACCATTCATTCACAGACTCATCAGAGGTAATTGAGTATCGTAGACTGGGTACTACTCCCCTGGGGATGGGCTTGAACCTGAGGTTGGCCCTTGACCCCGTTGCTCAAATGTGGGGCCCCCATTGGACGAGCCATGTACCGAAGGTCATAACTAAGAATATGCGTCAGCAATACAATCCAAGATGAAAGTGAAAAGAAATGACAAGACATACCTCTTGCCACTCTTCACTCTCGCATTCTCGAATACGCACTTTTCCTGAAAGCCAAACTCCCTCTCCAACCACTTCTTGATCCAGTCATGCTCCTCCTGGGCCTCCGGGGATGTTGCAATGGCACAAACAATTGCTGTGAGGGGACGGCCATAACCAGCACGATACTGCACTGTACCAGTTTGGTCAAACTCATAATCCTTGCTTTTTCCAGAGGTCACATCAAAACAAGAGAGGACCATATCGACAAGTGCCCGTCCAATGTGCTGCTTCTTGCTGCCCTCTTGGACGAAAACATGCAGCTCACCCATGTGCTTATCAGCGCTTTTGCCGTGCCGATGGAATTCGACATAGGCGTAGCCAACCACAGGGTCGATCTGGTTGCGACACAAGCGCTCTGGTGGACGTCGGGCAGCAACGACGAAGGGGAAGTGGTTGTCTCGGCAAAATTGCAGAAGCTCCCCAATGTCATTTGCCTCCATAGATCGGGTTTCACTGCTCAAAGCTGAGTTTTGTGCATACCAGTTCATGATTTCAAGAATAGAAGAAGCATCGCACTGTTCCGCAGGACGCAGATAGATGCCAGGTGGAACAATTTTAGAATCCGGTGGTAATTCTAGCCAAGCACGGTAATCCGCGGTGCGACGCAAGTGCTCTTGTTGTTCAAGTTCCTTCTTCTTTCGCTTTTTGTTGATCTTCCCGAGGTTGTATACGTAACCTTCCGATGTCTCGTGCCAATGCAGGCGTGTCAATTCGTCTTTCATATTCCTAGGGGTGGGGATATGCTTGGTGTCGGGCAGAAACATAGAAGACTGTCCATCGGGCATCGCGGTTCCATCAAAGAAGGCAACATGATAGATATCGACTTGGTGTCCTGCCGGAAGCTGATCCCACCAGCTGCGAAATTGGTTCCTGACGGTTCTGTTTGGAAGATCAAACGATGAAATTCTGTGTTTGAGTTCGTGCCACAGATCGTCTCCTTCTTGGATGTCCAAAGTCCAGTCACTCTCAGGCTCGTGACCAGAGTTGTGATATTCCGATGTGAACGTGAGAATGTCATTCTGGACGATTGGGAAGATACGGCGAGATTTTGTGTATGCCTTTACTTGGATTTTGTGTCGGGCATCCCGCTGGGTCCGAAACTCCACATTATTGGAACATTTGACCGTCTTTCCGATTTCTTCATATCCATCGTTAGGAATAAAGTCGGGTGGGTCAGCTGTTGCCCATGGCTCAGGTTCCTCAACTCCTTCGACAGTCCTAGGTTTTGCGAGCAATTCATAGACACTGCTGTTCAGATCAACCCCAGGTCCATCCCTCGCTGCAGGAAGCATCTCAGGGCAGGAGTGACTCTCGTTTTCCATGCCAAACAGAGGCTGTTGTGCAGGCATCTTCTCTCTCCTCTGTTTGTCAAACTGTTTGGTCAAATCCCAAGTTTGTGTCCAGCTCAGATTCTCTATGCTCTGGATCAGTTTGTTTCTTTCCATCTCATTCATGGATTCCAACGCATGAAGCATGGCTGAAGCCGAACTAGAGCTATTTGGGACCACCATCGATTTTTGCTTGTCGAACTTGTTAGGCGGCTTTCGGTAGACGGCATTCCTACCACGGAATGGCAAAGATATTTCAATTTCTTCTGCCATTGTGATGTGACCTACGTCACAAGGAATTGAATGAGAGTTTCTAGTAGATACCATCAAGTCAGCTGGGATTCTCGAACATCGCTGTCATAATGTTTCTTTGGTCTGTTCTGGGCCATCCTCTCGCTTTTCTTCACTAACCTATGATTTTGGCGAACGAGGAAGCAGCTGTGACGCTATGTGAACACACTTGGGGCAGGGCTTGCAACTGTGCCTGTTTCACATGTGTGTCAACTGTGGGGTGTCCTTGTGTTTGTTGCTCAAATGACGTGGTGTCAAAATGGTTGGTGACAAGCATACCTGAATGGTTGGATGTGTTGCAGTCAGTTCCCTAGCAAGACTTAACTGTAAAGCACGTCTGCTACGAATATGTGGAAAGAGGAAGTAAATGAACGAAGTGATGAAAGTTTGGAGAGAGAAAGATGGGAGAGAAGATGAGAGCAGGAAAGGTGAAGAGGGAGAGAGAAGAGAGAAGAGGGGAGAGGGGAGAGGGGAGGAGGCAGGGTCATAAATGTTGGGGGACTGGGAAACCCCGAACGTGTTCTCTCTCAAATTTGAACTTCAGGTTATCCTCACTACTTCCTGCTATCCGATTGCACATGTGCTTTCCCATCTCATCCAAAGAAGCAGCTAAGAGGACTTCATTCCAATATTGCTTTGCAGCCGCGAAAGGTACTAGATACTAGACATATGAATAGACCTAGGTAGGCCAAGGAGATAAAGTCCAATACAACTGATCCAAAGTTTTGAGGTGACAGCATAACCTCCGTTCTTTCTATTTGTTCTTTTCAGATGCTTTCCCGATGGTCTTTCCAGATAGTGTTTTCAGATGCTTCTTTCACGTGGTCTTTTAGGGTGTATACAAAGGTGGTAAACAGCATAAACTGTGCAGAGGAATTTTCTATGTTAAATCAAGGATGATTTCAAGCCTCAAATTTGGGGTCTTCAACGTTGCTACTAGTCGATGCTGTGGCCTCGAGTCCGATACAGTGCGTTTTGGAAATCCAAGCTATCAAAATATATATAATACATACCAACATGGCGTTCGAATGGACATATCTGAATAGTAAGTCACGTTGTAGTAACGGGGAGGAATATAGTATTGGCCGATCCATAGATACGATCAAACCCCCATCTGGAGCCTGACAGCATTTTTCCCTTTCCAACTACCCCCCCAAAAAACACCTAGCAGGATATTTTCGCAACCATGTTGTCAATACTTCGAAAAGCTCGTTTAAAGGATAAAGAAATGCGTATATTGATGCTGTATGGACTTTGGCTGGTCGTTCGGACCGAGATGCTAATGATTGCAGGGGTCTTGATAATGCCGGCAAGACGACCATCGTCAAGCGAATTATGAAGGAAGATGTGACGACAGTCAGCCCGACTCTAGGATTCATCATCAAGACGATTGACTTTATGGGGTAATTTTTCCATGCTTGTTAATATCTCGAGCTCTGCTAACTTGGGGCAGATACAAACTCAACATATGTGAGCCGACCTAGGTCTTTGGTGAGACCCATGCTGACAGTACTAGGGGATGTTGGAGGACAGAAAACACTCCGATCCTACTGGAAAAATTATTTTGAAAAGACCGACACGCTAGTTTGGGTTGTCGATGCGACAGATCGACTCCGGGTTGACGATTGTCGACAGGAGCTCTCGGGTCTGCTTCTTGAAGAGGTACGGATGACGTCCCCACCCGCAATCCGCAAAATCTTGAGAGCGTCAACTGAACCCGTATTCCACCAGCGCCTTACGGGAGCTAGTCTGCTGGTATTTTTAAATAAGACAGACGTGGAACATTGCATGAGCGAGCAGGAGGTTCGAGAAGTAGGTCTAAGTTCTTTGAAATTCGGGCTGTTTGCTGGACTTGGCTGATGTTTCTGCAGCGTCTTGACTTGGATTCAATCAAAACACACAAGTGGACTATCTTGCCATGCAGTGCAATGACAGGTACGAATCTGAATGAAGGTCTAGAATGGGTGGTACAAGATGCCAAGGACCGGCTGTTCCTTTACTAGTGAAATCGGGGGAAATCGGCCAGGCAAGCATAGATATCAAGAGAAAAACACAGATATCTACTCGGATTGAATTTTAGACTGATCTATATTCATCTGGTCAAATGGTATCTCGCCCGTTATATCTCAACTAACATGTGCTGCTAGTCATATTCTAAAAACCATTCAATGCGGTGCATGTTCTACACACCTTTTAATAATACTGGTTACATGTTCCAAAGGGCGTAAATGTTCAAAGTGGCAAAGGAACCACGCTCCTTATATCCGATAGGCTAGAGTAGAAACTTACAAAGAGTTAAGAAAAGTAACGTGTGTTTCATTTCATCTATCTTGTATGGAGTACGGAGTACAACCTAGCATATGCAAGGCACAAATTGATATATCCAGTACTGAAAAATAGTCACATATGACCCAACCATGAATTCACCGTATGTTTGCCCTGTTTAACCCCTGAAAATAAGGGAAAACCCAGAAAACCCAGAAAACCCAGAAAACCCAGTCAAACCAGTCAAACCAGAAAAACCAGAAAAACCAGAAAAACCCAGAAGAAGCAGAAAGAACGAGCAAATCCATGGAACGGAGAGGAAAACTGCGGGGCCCATCCACCTGGGAGTAAACAACACCTTCCAACTCTTATGTGTGACGGATTCCGGTTTGGTTCTAAATGCATCTATGTCTATATTGTGTATTGAAGAGAATTTTTTTATAATAGTTAAAACATAAAAAGCATAGATCAAAAAGGTATAAGAAAAAAATAAAGATGATTTGTGAGCCAATGAATTTGTTGATCATCGTCAGTCCCGATTTAATTTAAACAGGGCGGAGAACACAGCCCTTCTTCCTCTCTTACAACTCTTCCCCCCTCATTTGTTTCATTCTAGGAGGCGTGCATGAACGCCAGGAGTCCTAGATCATGGCTGTTCCCAACGAGAGTTCCGAGGATGTCAATGATTTCCTGCAGCGCATCCGAGAACTAGGCGAGCGCCGCGACAAGGAAGACGACGAGCGCACCAAGAAACTAGAGGAGGAGATCCTGCAGGGCCGGAAAGAAAGGCAAGCCCGGAGAGCTGGTACATATTCCCTATTCCCCTTGATGCAGGCAATGTCTGCACAGTTACAGCATCTGCTGCAGGTCGACAATGTGCTGATATCCGAATGACTCAAAAACAGAGCGTGCACGATCACTGGCCCTTACCGACGATTCATCCACCCTCAATATTGCACGACTGAGCGCTTCATCTATCAGTGTCCGGTCTATCGACCCCCCGGAACACCTTGAGCCAACACCGCAGATGCCCCAAACGCCAGGACCTGAGCCCCCGATCCCGAGCGCCGTGGATTCGAATCAAGACACGGAGGCCTCCAATACAGACAAGCGGCGTGGATCGGTCCCGGATTTCGGAATAGATTCTCCCTCGCGAACACGGTCACCATTGTCCCGCAGTCGCGCGGGGACTTTGCCATGGCAGCAACGCCCCTCCTCGCGGGATTTCAACGTGTCACCTGGCTCAACATCCCCAACTCGCTCCCCAACTCGCGCAAGCCACCTGAGAAATTTGTCTACGGCATCGGATGAGAATACACTATCTCGACTCCAATTTGGGTTCCCGAGGCCTTCGAAGGATGCCCCTGTACTCCCTCCATCACCGAACCGCGAGGCTGAGTCGTTAGCACACAGTGAGAAGGAAGAACAGACGGATAGCCAAACAGACGTGGGTGCGGGGCATCAAGAGCCGGAAGTGGGCGAAGAATCAAGTACTGAATTAGATAAAGTCGAGGCACTAGAAGAGAGATCATCGCCGTCTCCGGGAACCGGTTCTCGCGATAGCAACATGAGCCATCGCTTCTCTGTATCATCGGTTTCAGCCACTGGGTTGGGATCGCCAGTGCACCTGTCAGAGACTCCGAAGCTTGAGCCTCGACAGAATGATTCCTCCTTTGAGGAATCTGTGTCGCCCTCTCCAACCCAGCGGCGGATGTCACCAGAGCGAACGCGGTCAACCTCGCCCACCAAGGGCCTGGGAGGCTTTGTTCAGAGTGCTATGATGAGAAGATCAGATAGTGTGTCAAAAAGGTGGAGTGCGCAAACTCCGCAGGGGCTCGGGCGGTCCAATTCCATTGTGTCGAACCGCAGCAGTGTGGCAGGTCCAAGTTTGAGTGAAATGACCCCTCCAACTCTTGGGCGAATTGGACGTGAACCTTCAACTCTCCTACAACGACCAGGCTCCAGTCACAGCGAGGCAACCACCGAGACAACCGAGCGACCAACAACACCTGCGGACAGAGACAGTGTGAATTTTGAAAGCCCAGGAAAATCATTCCGACCTAATCACTCTCGTTCTGCTAGCTCTGCTACCGCTGACGGCAGCGACGCCCAGAGTCCGTTTGTCTCGAAAACAATGGACCCCAGGCGCTGGAGTCCCAACAAGGCTTCTTGGTTGGAGAGTGCTCTCAACCGACCAGAGCTACCACGACAAACCACAAGGCCCCCCTCGCAGCCCAACTGGGCCAAAGACCGGCAGTCACGAGGTAGCGTGGATTTGGGACGAGTCAACAATTTCAAGGAAGTCACCCCTCTCGGGCTGATGCGAACACCCCCCCCTGGAACTCAAACCAAACTACCTGGTGCCTCTGGTCCATCGCTTCCTACAAGCCCTATCAAGGATGGTCTCCCTGAGTCTCCATTGGGATTCCCTTTGAGGAAAATCGGTGGTTCTGGTCCATCGCTTCCTACAAGCCCCACCAAGGATGTTGTTCCTGAGTCTCCATTGGGATTCCCTCTGAAGAAAATCGGTGGTTCTGGTCCATCGCTTCCTACAAGCCCCACCAAGGATGTCGTTCCTGAGTCTCCATTGGGATTCCCTCTGAAGAAAATCGGTGGCTCTGGCCCATCACTTCCTGCGAGCCCTGTGAAGGAGGCGGTCCCTGAGTCTCCGTCTGGATTCCCCTTTAAAAAGCAAAGCATCTCGGGTTCATCGCTGCACAGGAACTCCGCTTCAGACACTCCCTCAGAATTCCCTTTCAAGAGGCCTGGTACCGCTGGAGGGTCAGCCGGCGGAAGCCCCGAAGGCAAGCTCAAAGAAACCCCACCCGAGTCTCCCTCGGGATTCCCTTTCAAAAAGCCCATCAGCTCGGGCTCATCACTCCACAGGAACTCTGTCTCAGAGCTTCCGACAGAATTCCCACCCAAGAGGCCCAGTGTGTCTAGTCCTAGCCTTGCCAAGGAGAGCGTTCCTGAATCTCCCTCAGAGTTCTCATTCAAGAAACCCAGTATTTCTAGTCCCTCGATCCCTGGAACCCCCGAAGCCAAATTGAAGGAGATAGTCCCACAATCTCCGTCGGTTCTCGGTAGCCCTGACGCCGGAAAAACAAAAGAGGAAACTTCAGCTTCTCCATCGCCTGTCGATGAAGCTCTCAATGCCCTATCAGGCGGCGAACCGGCGGAGGAAACTAAGTCTGCCTCTCCCGCTAAAATTGAGAATGAATCGCAAGAACTACCTGCAGCTGAAGAGTCTGAGCCTCAATCTACTCCCACTCGCAGGGACCCTCCCGACTCGTTGAGCCCCAAACCAAACTTTTCCATCTCTACCTCCTCGCGGGGGCCAATTTCACCCAAGGCGAAGCCACAATCTCCTGTGCTGGACTTTCGAGCAAATCTACGGAAGCGAGAAGTCGTCAAAGATAATGGAGACAACAAAGAACCGGAGTTTAAAAACGTGTTTGGGCGCCTCAAAAAGACTGAAACTCGCAACTACGTCGCCCCTGATGAGCTTAAGGGCAATATCCTACGAGGCAAAGCTGCTTTGAACAACACTGGGGGACCAAAGAAAACTGAGCGAGTCGACGAATTTAGAAAGAGCCTTGTGTCACGCAAAGATGAAATGAAAGCCGGCGGGGGGTCCATCAGACGGAATACCGCTGGAGAGCAGGATGCGCCGCCAAAACAGACGGAGGTCGTACCAGAAGCAATTGCTATGCGACAAAACATGACACGGGCAAACAGCCTTAAGCAGCCGCCTGTGGATGAGCCAATGTTGCCCGCTAAACGCTTTGATTCTCGAGCTTCGCAGGACAGACCCCCATTGTCGTCCCCAACTTCATCTTTCAAAGGCATCGGTACATCGCGAGCTTCCCAGGAAATGCAACCATTGCCGTCCCCGACTTCATCTTTCAAAGGCATCGGTACATCGCGAGCTTCTCAGGAAATGCAACCATTGCCGTCCCCGACTTCATCTTTCAAAGGCATCGGTACATCCCGAGTTTCTCAGGAAACGCAACCATTGTCGCCATCTCCTGCCAATGATGAGCCGGGCTGGCCCTTGAAAGATAACAGTTCCTGGCGAGCATCCCAAGAATCACAGCCATTGTCACCGTTCCCTGCTGATGACCCCATTGATGAGGAGCCAGAGGCAATCCCGGCGGTGAGCGACTACAAACAAATTCCCGGGGCGGTCTCTTCAGCAGACCTAGAGGAAACTCGTGAAGCCGTGGCGCCAATCGAGCCCAGCATAGTGAAGATGCAGGAGCCTTCAGTCAAGGCACTCCGCCCGGTTCGTCAATGGCCACCGGCGCCTGTCGCAGAGGCTACTGTGACCCCAGGTCTGGCAGCTAAAAGCAAGTTGGCGGGACGAATCAACCCTGCGCTAGCTGGCCTACTTTCTCGTGGCGCGCCTGTCGGCGACGGACCGAAGAAGCAGCAGTCAACACCTGTCTCAGTGCAGAGTGACCCTGCTTCCCCATCTGCGCCTCTCACGCACATCACAAAGGGTCGTGCCAGAGGCCCGAAGAGACGACTTCCCCAGACAACTGATGTCTCGACCCCGTCCGCTCGGGATGATACTAAGGAGGTTGGTGCTATTTCATGCTCTGAAGCCACCCCGTCCCAGACTCCTACAATCCCTGTTGAATCCTTGGACATCGATCCGGAGTATCTGTTGCAGCCTGATGAAAACCCAGTTCCTGACATCAAAAACTCCCGTTCAGACAGCCCAGTCACCGAGCAACTTCCGGAGATGAACACTCCTCCCCAAGATACCCCCGAGCGCGATACGCCCCAAAGCGGATTCCCCCAAGCACTTCAGACCCGTTCCCTAACAACGGATTTCGACATTTTCCCCTCCGCCAATCTCGAGACGACACCCAGGGACCCCGAAAGCCCTGGAGAGGTGAGTCCATCAAGCGGACCACCTGTCCCGCCGAAATCCGATCCTCCTACGTCCCCCTTGCCTGTAACACCAAAGCCACAATGGGGCCAGCAAAACCGGTTTGCGTCCTCATCGCCATCCCCTCTCCGAACAAGTCACAAAGAGAACCAAATGGACTCACCAATGAGTCGGCAGAAAAGCATCCCCGGTGTTATCGTCGAGTCAGCACGCAGTTCCGTCTCACGGCCCATGAGCCACCCTTCCCCGCCAGTACCCCCTAAAGACGGTGATGTTATGCTTCCCAAACCAACCGATCCGCGCAGACTTTCAAGAAAGATGTCTGCCCCATCACTGGTTGCGCAAGCTAGTGAGGCACGTGAGGTAATTGCGGGCTTCTTCAAGGCATTTCCCAACGCTCGAAACCGGATGGACATTGATCCCCAGCTGATGTTGATGCGTAAGCCGGACGATGTAAAGATCAGGATCGTGAAGCGACAGATCTGGGAGCTCACGGGTGACGGGAGACGTCAAGAACTTCCTTCCCATCAGGAGTACATCCTATACCAAGGCAGTATGTATCTCTGCGTGCACACATTCGAGTCCGGACGAAGCAGTACTTCGGAAGTATACCTTTGGCGTGGAGACGATGTCCCCGAAGCCTCGGTAGAAAATGAACAACCGTTCGCGCGTAAAGTCGCGCGTGAGAATAGCTCTAAGTTGCAGGTGATTCGACAAGGCAATGAGCCCACACGGTTCATCCAAGCACTCGGCGGAATCATGATCACGCGTCGGGGATCCAGCTCTCGCCACAATTCATCGGCTCTCTACATGCTTTGCGGCCGGAAACACTTAGGCGAGATGACCTTCGATGAGGTGGACTACTCACTGCGCAATCTCTGCTCTGGTTTCCCTTACGTTGTCTCTGCTCCCTTTGGCAAACTTTACCTATGGAAGGGCAAAGGGAGTGGACCCGAAGAAACCGGTGCAGCCCGACTTATCGGAATGGACCTAGGTCTGACTGGAGAGTTTGAAGAAGTCGCCGAGGGCGAAGAACCTGAGGATTTCTTTGATGTCTTTGCAGGCCCTAGGGAGGCCGCATCGCACATGTGCCAAGATCACTGGCGGCTCAAGCCGAAATACAACCACTTCCGCACGCGACTCCTCCGGGTCGATCACGAACTGAACCCCCCAACACGTTTCTGGAATATCCGCCGTCCGGGCTCAGGTTCACCAGTGGTCAAGGCCAACGATTGCGTTCAAGAAATCGAGCCATTCTGCTATCGAGACATTACCGAGAAAGACGTATATGTTCTGGACACCTTCTTTGAGATCTACGTGTAAGTATTACCTCCTATCAAAATGCGCTCCACTTAACTGACACTAATTCCCCTCGCAGTATTATCGGCGACCAAGCCTCGCATAAGTCTGCCGATTTTGCCTCTGCAGTGGTCTTCGCGCACGAATATGGTATCCTTGCCACATCCCTCCAGGACCGACCATTCATCCCCAAAAGTTTCGTGGCTCTCGGCGGCGTACCCGACCGATGCCAAAGCGCATTCCGCAAGTGGAACCCACGTAACCAGCATGCGCCTTTCGTGTTCTCTCTGGATGTTGTTATCGAAGCGATTCGATCACCAGAGGATAATTGAGTGCGAACTTTTGTTTTTTTATTTGACTTTGTGGGGGGCTTCTACTTTGAATTTGTGCATATTTCGGTTTTGTACATCTGCAGAGCATTTCGGAGTCTTGTGTACTTGTGCCATATTTGTGCCATAGAGGGAACTGGAGCATCTGGGGATGTAGATAGGTGGATTTCGCATTGGAGGGTGTATTTAAGCAATGATTTTTAAGCATTCAAGTTTTCCATACCAAGTTTTGCCTATACACCTAGGCTTATCTTTTTTTTATTGACTAAATTATGATATATAAATTAAAACATAAGACTTTCGATTACTCGGACATTTAGGGCCTTTAGGGTATAGTACTCCTTACCTATACGGGAACGACGGGGCGACGGAGATAAAAAAGAAAAAATCGTCTGATCTGGAATGTCGCCATCCTCGATCTTCTGATTGGCGTTTGTAAATTTCTTCCTTTCTTACATTCTACATACTCCCTGATGGCAATGTGAATAGTTGAGTCATGGACCCCTCCATCCTTCGCGAGCTCTCAAAGCTCGACCCCGCGGTACCGTTCCGCTCATCGACCGATCATTTACATCACACATGGGCCAAGACATTCTTCTCGCGCCCAGAGTTGTACATCCGCCCACAAACAATTCCAGAGATCCAACAACTGGTGACTCTCGCTCGTCGCTGTCGTCGTCGTATCGTAACAGTCGGTAGCGGCCACTCACCCTCCGATTTGACCTGCACCTCGTCCTGGCTTGTCAACCTCGACAACTTCAATCGCATCCTCCACGTCGACCCGTCGACCGGCTCGGTAACCGTCGAAGCAGGCATCCGATTGCATGCACTGGGTACACAACTAGAGAAACATGGCTTGACACTCGAGAACCTGGGCAGCATTGACAGCCAGTCCATAGCAGGCGTCATCGCCACCGGTACCCACGGCAGCTCCCTACGCCACGGCCTGGTGTCGGAATGCATCGACTCACTTGGCCTGGTACTCGCCAATGGCCAGCTAGTCCGATGCAGCCCGACAAACAACCCGGACCTGTTCCGCGCGGGGCTGGTGTCGCTCGGAGCGCTCGGAATCGTCGTCGAAGTCACCTTCAAGGCGACGCCCACGTTCAATATCGCCTGGCGCCAGGAGCGGTATTCGCTCCCTCGCGTGCTAGACGAATGGTCGACCGGTCTGTGGACATCGCATGAGTTCGTGCGCGTTTGGTGGCTGCCTTATGAGAAAGGTGCTATTGTCTGGCGTGCTGATAAAACCGACCTTCCGTTGCGCGCTCCCCCGAAAAGCTTCTACGGCGACTCGTTGGGCTACCATATCTACCACAATCTCCTAGCGTTGTCCTCGTATATCCCGCGCATCCTGCCGTGGGTCGAGTGGTTCGTCTTTGGTATGCAGTATGGCTTCCGAGCTGGGTCAACCATCACCGAAGCAGTTGAGCCCGCGCGCGAGGGCTTGTTGATGAACTGCCTGTATTCGCAGTTCGTTAATGAATGGGCTCTCCCGCTGGATAAGGGCCCCGAGGCCATCGGTCGGCTTTCGGCCTGGCTGCACGGCGACACGGAGACTGCGCGCATCCCTTTCTCACCCAAGGGACTGTACGTGCACTGTCCGGTCGAAGTGCGAGTCTCCGATACCTCGCTGAACACCAAGCCCCGCCCATTCCTGGACCCGACCTGTCGCGACGGCCCGACACTCTACCTGAACGCAACGCTGTATCGTCCATACCTCCGCGACCCGCCATGCAAAGAACGTTACTACGAAGCCTTTGAATGGCTGATGCGGGAGATGGGCGCGAAGCCGCACTGGGCGAAGAACTTCCACACATTAAGCTCACACGAGCTGGGCACCGCGTACGGATCAGACATGGAGTCGTGGATGAAAGTACGCTCAGAGGTCGACGCGGACGGGATGTTCGTGGGCGAATGGCATCGGCGCCACCTACCCCTAGAGCTCGGGCAGGGAATAGAAGCACCCGAGGGTGAGAGACTGCCCCTCCTAGAGCGCGAGCACGAACGTCGCAGGGTGGGTATGAGTGGCGTTGGGGATGGTGTCGAATGGGTAGGGGATCGCCGATGGCTGGTTCAGGCTCAGGCTCAGCGACCCTCCTTTGATGCGCTGGATATGGAGAAGAGCGTGTACCCACTACCGCCAGATCACTTGTCTAGTCCGTCCAGTACGGCGACCAGCGAGGAGAGCTTTGATTTGCTTGCCAGGGGTGAAGCGAGCATCTTGCTCCCCGACGGACCGGGGGCGTGAGAGGAGAGAAATCAGGCTCCCATCGAAAGCAAACAATGTCTTGTTTTCGGGTGCGAGAGTCCTGATTCTTCCGTTCCTTTTGCATCTGCTGATCTGTCGGTGACTGTTCTGACTGGTCCACTCGAGGGCTGTGTTAGTCCTTATTGGCTCTCGGAGCTAATTTGGTGATTTCCCGCATCACTTTTGTTTTTGTTTTTCTTTTTTCTTTCTTTCTTCTCCCCTTTTATGTTCCAAGCAATTTAGGGTTAGTGGTTGATTACATTGGGTTGGCAAATCTGACATCCGAGGATGTTCAGGCTTCAAATTCTTGACGTCAAGTGTCCCCCCAAAACGAGTGCTTTTAGATCTCCTTCCTATATGGAGTACATCTGATATTGCATATTGCATTTTCCCCTGCTTTTACCCTTATTTTGCCTTTTTTTTCACTCCCAATTTTCCATTTGCCAAGGCAGAGAAATCTCACGGCCTCGTGGTCTCTAGGCACTTGAAATTGGAATATTTCGGTGAACTAGTGAACTGCATGTTCGATGCAGGTGCTGATACCAAGCCCTTCCCTTCTATAGGGCGAGGTTTGTAAGTCTTCTTTTTTTTGCTTTTGAAAATATGCATACTGTAGTCAATAGTCCATAGTCCATTCAGTTCTTGTACACACCCGAGGCCAACTTTTACATGGAATCGTTCATATCTTGTTTCTGTAAAATCGGGGAGAAGGAATCACACTGTGTCTGTGTCGCTGTCATTGTTCGTTATCCCTTGTTCCCTGTTCCCTGTCTTGTCGCAGCTGAGAGCCTTGAGATGATCCAAGTACGGAGTACTTGAGAACCCAACCTCGAGGCATTGCACAGGTCCTCATACAGGTTCATGGATTCTATTGCATTCCACAGTCTAGACAACTCGGTGGCAAAACCGAGATTCAGGGTTGATGTTCTGTTCAGACAATATCGTGAGATATTGGGATGGGAAAGGAAGAGAGAAATACACTCCAGTGTACGGAGTACTCCGTAGATCAGTGACACCCTGTATGGTATTGCAGCCGGAGCTGAACACTGTGTGGCCTGGTAGGTATACTTAGTATACACGTCTCACACATACACTGCCACACACAGCACAAAAGGAAAGTTGATCAATGCAAAGATCTAGCCTAGACAACTGTTCGGATTAGGGCTGCTTCTTTGAGGATCTGATCATGGCACACTGGGTCTGATTCTGTGCGAGAATGCAGGCAGTACCAGGGTCATATTGTACGAAAGAAACAGACGAGTCATCTAGGTAGAAAGATAGAAAGGGGAGTAGAAGAGCACTAGGATAAACAGGGTAATATCATCAACCCCGCTTTGTATCAGAAACAAAGTACTATACATTATACATCCTATTGTCTATTGTCTCTCTTCTCAGCCTCTTTTTAATTCTTTCAACTCTTTCTCTTTCTACTCAGAGGCTGAGAGAGAGAGAGAGAACCACCTGACAGTTGAATTATCTACATATTCTGGCATATCACGTTGTACCACGTTACGGTGCAGCTGGCAAGGATGTCTTATGTCCTTTTCACCGACATCTCTTTGGACTTTTTTATTTATTTTTGATTTCGCATTGACCCCCTCAAAGCTGCAGATTAACCAGGGAGATGATTGGACATCATCTCATCACAAATCTCGGAGTTTGACTTTCTCAATCTCCAGGCACGTGTGTTGGGGGTCTCTCTGACGTGCAGTGTCAGCATTCGAGGGGAAAATCGTGTGACAAGGAACGTTACCTCCGGCCTTGATCCTCTCTGCCTTTTCCTGCCCAATGACTAGGGTGATCTACCGAATTCACAGACTCACGGCTCGGACCGTGTCATTGTACTGATCTCTAGGTACCTAAACAGTCGCCTAAGTGACTGCCTGCCTATGTGTCTACATGCCTACATCCCTCACTAGCATCAACTACATGTCACTCTCGTCACCCTTGAACGCTTTGAACAGTCTCTCCACGTCACGGCCAAGGGCTTCTCTGCTGATGCGGGGGACACCTTCTCTGCACCTTTGATAATCATGATATCAATGTTTGGCACTGGCGGCTGAAAGTCCCTTTCATTATCATCCACCCCACCTGCTCGATTCCTTTCTTTTTCTTCTGTTTTCTTTTTTACTTTGCTGGCCAAAGCTCTCCCTCTCTTCCTCCTCTTGAAATCTTGCTCTCTCTCTTTCCTCTTTCTCCATCCTTTTTACTCTTGCATTGCAATATCTACCTCGCTTGCTTGGTTTCTGGTGGGGTTTCCAATATGATGCAATCCACCATGTCGTGGCAGCCAAAGCTTCGCCCCAAGGGCTTCCCGCATCGCATTGACGACTTTGCGGCTGTGGCTTCGTTGTCGGAACTGGAGCATCGGGCCCGGACTGGCGAGGACAAGCGCGACCAGCGCGTCTTCCGGGTCAAGCGTAAACATGTTTTGAAGGCTTGTGATCGCTGTCGCGTGAAGAAGACCAAGGTATGTCGACTGATATAGCATGAGGATTGCGATTTGACTAACTCATTTCAGTGTGATGGGAAACAGCCTTGCAACCGTTGCTCAGTATACAACCACCCTTGCCTATTCCGTGAAAGAAAGGCCACGCAGACCAAGGTATATTCTCGAGGGTGAGTGCATGCATATAATCTCAAACCAGGCATATCCTCAAAGGCTCATAGAGAAACCACACAGATTTGTCGAAATGCTCGAATCCCACCATTCCCTGGTTGTAAAAGCCCTCCAGAAACTCTACAAATTCTGCATCAACAACGAAGGCTTCCCAGGCGATCCCCTCGCCGAAGCCCCAGACGGACACCCCCTAACACACGCAATCCTCGATCGTCTAGGGCTGATTAAACAAGCCGAAGAGAACGCCGACGAGCCAGACGAAGACTCGGAGGATCTGCGCTACCTACGACTGCTATCAACATCTACCGAATGTAGCGTCACAGCAGAGCCCTCGCCAGAGCCAACAACGCCGCCAGAGCCTTCACCAACCATATCTCGCCCACCATGCCCAATCCCAACACCCATATCCGTGCCCAGCCGCACCGCCACCACAAGCTGGCAATGGGATCTCCAGCCCGTCCATCAGACGAGCTACAGCTACCCAGATTCAGGGTACCACGACCTAATGGCTCTGCAGCAACGGTCGTCCATGAATGCGCCAGATATGAGCGCTGATATCGCGCCCCATGTTGATCTGCCCCCTGCGTCTTCTGGCCTACCGCATCATTCTCAACATGCGCACCACGAATCACCGTTCCCGTACATCCTGGATGGATGCTGTGATTCCGGCACTACCCAGCAGGATATTAAGCCTGTGATTGCGAGGTTACCTCCCGGCCTCCTGATTGAGTCTCATACGCATTCCCATCATCTTGCTGGGAATCTGTCGCCAGAGATGATGGGTGACTTCCATTTCCCGGCACATGACTCGACGTTTTATCCTGGGTTTACACCTGGCTGGAATTTTCCTTCGGCCTAAATCTGGTTTGGTATGATATGATGGACTGTTTCCCTCGTCTTTTGGAGATACATGGTCTTTTTTTTCGGTTTGGGGCTTTTTGGTACAAGCTGTTGAGCAGCTTTCTTTCATTTCACTTCTTATCTATATTTCTTCTTATCATTTCGCTTTCTCTCTTCTCATCCGAGTCATTTTGACTTACATTCTTCTCCGACTCTCTTTTATTTTGCTTTTTTTCTTTTCCTCTTTCTATACCCCCCACGTCTGGATTTGAACTCCTTCATTGGAGCATGGAGCATGACATCAACGCAAGATTATAAGATTGGAAGATGTCTGGCACATTGAGCCCTAGTCTTTTTGACCAGTCGCTTTCTTTTTGGCTTTTACTTCTCGGGCTCACCCAGGTCTTTCTTTGAATCGTCATCATTGATTTTGGATTTGGATTTCCTTTCGATTCTGGTATCTAGTTTGAAAGAATATCACCCGATCGACTTAGGGACTAGTTCTTATACCTTCGACTTTTTTCTCTTTTTCTTTTTAGCGCTAGCATTAGATTTAGGTAGTACTTATGTATAGAGGACTGGGAGATTACTTACAATGAGATATAGATTTAGCATAGTATTATCATACCTTCACCAGATAGATCCCACAGCGGACATTTCATAAGTTGAAAGGTCAGTCATACTTCTCGGTCATGCTAATCTTCCAACAATACCAACGACAATGCCCACAAAAATTCCCAATGAAATGCAAAGTACTCTGTACACGATACATCCCATCAATCCCAGCTGGCCTACAACCAACCCAACAAAAGATAACACAAAAAAACCCGAAAACTGCCTCACACCAGATCTAGATCTCGCACCAAGTCATACAGTGGTACAATACATGCACAACCTGACACAAATATATCCAGCATCAGGCCAGAAAAGAAAGCAGCCGCCATAGCAGAGGTCTAAAAAGGGTTAGGAGCAGGCAGATCAAACCAGATCAGATCGTAGATCACAGCAAGCGCGTATGTCATATTGCCTATTTAGGCTGGGGGATTGGGAGTAGGACCTTGCGTGAGGGTTGTTTGTGGGACTTGAGGACATGCGCTTTGTCGGTGGTTGATGGGGTTGTTTGTGTACCCTGGTGTATGTACATTGATGGAGGTACTGAGATCTATGTAGATGTATATGTATATGTAGATTGTAATGTACCGATGTATGCATCTAGCAGTTGGGGATGTGATGTGGTGCGATATAGGACAGGGAATGACATACCACATTGCATATAAAACATTGAATACATACCAAGTTAAATGCTGTATCATGCCATTCCCTGTCATTTCTAGTGGAAATATATTGTTTTCTTGTAATGATGTTGATAGTAACATTGCAGCCTCAAGAAGCGATCAGCTCTCGGAGCAGGTGAGTTAGTCACCATAAGCGGCCAACCGAGCCAAGTATGAGAAGGAGCATGAGGTAAAATACTGTTTCTTATAGACCCTAGATACACGGAGCCTCTCAGCTTAGTAGTGCGTATAGCCCGAATTATAGCCCGAGTTCCCATCCACATTCTCTTGTCCTCTGCCTCCGCTACAAATCCCCGAGTTCGTGCCTTAAACCCTCAACAATGTCAGAAATGGCTTTCACGGGTATATCTTAGAACAAAATACCTAGGCATTGTTGTAACATGGAGTGCGACCCTGCGCAGTGATAAGAGAGGCACAGGCGAAAGAACCGCCCGCATTGCACTTTGCTGGGGTATTTTCGCCACTTTGGAGCATTCGACTAGCGCCCGAACATAGTCTTGTGCAATCATAGTCATTGCCAGTCATTGCGTTCTATAACCTGTTTTAGTTTCTATCTTATAGGCCGATCAAAATCATCGGAAGACATACGGATCCGTAGAGGCAGCAGTGCGAACGATCGGGAAACAGACATTGGCACTGTCTTGAGCCTGAGCAGGTATCTGCCAAGCTAGCACCGGCAGTGGCAAGCATAAGTAATAGACTAGAAACCTTCATTCTGAAGGTTGAGGCTTGGTTGAAGATATGTAAGAAATTGGGAGGTGATATTTTGGAGTGTATCCTAGGGCTATCTTACTCTATTTAATACTCAGGCTCTGTGCCTACAACATGATATGAATAGTAATTAACATTTCTCCAAGATTTCTCCGAGGAAGGATCTTGTCTAAATTAAATTATACAACATATATAAGTTATATACTAGCGATAACCTGATTGAATTAGTTCACTAGGAGAAGGTTCCCAGTACAATTGTGAGACGTTGGTTCTATATTGACGGTTAGCACTCTATCTTATAGCAAAGTTTATAGTTATATTGCTTGTCTATCAAGGAGGAGAAAGCTAATGAAGTCAAGAAACCCGTTCGGTTTGAAGTAGGCGGGTAAGCGGGACAGACTGCTGTCGTTCCGTGAAGACAAGTAAAATAACTCCACTGGAAAAGAATTAGGGTCTAACTATTAATCCTAAAAGTGGACTAAAACATAGACTAAAATGAGACATTTAACTATGTTGCACGGAGTACGGAGAAGGGAGTAAGGTGATAGGATAAAGCTCAATTGGGATTTTTTGCTTATGCACTTTATGTCATGGCTTCTTTTCCATTTATCTTCTCCTCTTCATGACCAATAGAGCACCAATCTTTTTCATAGAATGGCTGTTTCCCTAGAGGGTTGTATAGAGCGAAAAGTCTGGCAAACCGACCATGTAAAAAGCGACAGTGGTGTGGACCCTGGCCCGAAAAGGGAAAAGCATGTAAACCTCCACTCTTCAACATCTTGGCGTCACGTTTGACATTAATAAGACAATTTGAGAAAGACCTCGGAAGGAATAGCAACCGATGAATAAAATAGAGAACCTTGTGTAGCTTGCTTGTGTTCATGGGCCCCTAGGATCTTGTATATGAATTTGTTTATGGGGAATATATCACCGTTGAGACATTTATAAGGGAAAGCAAGAAAAACCATGAGAGAGAAAACAAAAAGGTCAAATAAGGATGCTTTTGAACATAAAGATAAAGGAGACCAATCTATTATTCTCAACATAATTCTTCCATCATGATGCATAATTTTGAATCCCATTATTATACAATTCCACCGAAATACCTAGGTACTCTCCCATCGGTTGACAGGAACAGCGTCTATGTTGATGCGTCTTGATGTTAGTCCTCCCTGGCGTCGGCTCACATTTCTTCCAACAATCACAGTTACAACCGGATAAGAAGCTACTCATAATGGCCCAGCTGAGATGAGCCATTCCAATCAATTTCAAGGGTTGATATTTTCTCTTGCCGTCCATTCTTGTTGGAGAAATTTCCTGATAGGAGAAGAGGAACGAGAAGAGACGAAGAAAAAGAAGAAAAGGGGAACTTTAGGGGGGGAGAGGGGGGGTTTATACATGCAGGTGGAGACATCGTGTCTTCCGAATCCATGGATAGCTTCAAGGGACTTCGGGAGCCGTCCACGGGTGCGCAGCTTCTCGAAAATGGTGGTTGGAGCTAAAGTGACGGGCAGGATGCTCCTTCCCAGTGTTGTTGTGTCTGAATTGACACTACTCCGTATGCATGCAGAATTACTTTCAACCCCGTCTTCTTCCGCCTGCCAAGGGGTTGGCGCCAAGGGTTGCTCCTGCCAGCGGAGTTTTGCGACTTCCATGGGAGTGCAGTGGTGCCACCTAGTCGTTTATTTGGTCCCGGGAACAATCAGTTGCCTGCAAGACGAGGCAAGTTCACAGCACACTGATGGAGCAAGACTGTTGAAGTGGCCAGAGGTTAAAATATTCCGCAACACCCTGTATCTTGGCAATTCTGCGCTTGTAGATTCCATATGTAGTAATTATTGGTATCTTAGGACCGAATACTCCCGTCATTGGATAATCCCCCACCAGATTCCGATGTCTGTCAAACATGAGATTACCCTTTACTATCTTGGCACCAAGTTCATAACCCCTTCCCTACCAATGGATCGTCCAACGTGCGTGGCTACCCAGGGATAAATCCTTGGAAGTCATCGGCCAAGACTCTGGGGCATCTCCACAATGTGTTTCTCACACGAGCAGAGTCTGAGCGTTCGCATGAAGCATGAAGAACTACTTTCCTTCCCACACAGAGAGCCACATTTTGTTCACTTACCTATCTAGTGATTGCCCCTCAAGAAAGAACTCAGACGGGCAAACAGCTCGGTAGTTATCATCGCAAGCTATCTACCCATCGAACGACAATATCCAATGTCAGACGAGAAGCCTGGCATCGTCTCCGGGTCGGGTGGGAGCCCACTGAGTCAGCCGGCTCATACGCTACCTTATGAAGTCGTGATAAAAGAACTCAGCACTGGGCTGGACGAGGGTCTGGCCCCCGAAGAAGCGAGTCGTCGTCTGCAGCAATATGGTCCCAACAAACTAGACGAAGGCGAAGGTGTATCGTTGGTCAAGATTCTTGTGCGCCAGGTGGCCAATGCAATGATGCTAGTAAGGCCCCTTCCCCATTCGTGTTCATACTCCGAAATCTGCTCAAAGCTCTCCAAATCTAATTCAATATGTTTGTTGTAGGTGTTGATACTGGCCATGGCAGTCAGCTTTGGGATTCAGTCGTGGATTGAGGGTGGAGTAATCTGTGCTGTCATTGTCTTAAATATCATTGTCGGGTTCTTTCAGGAGTACGCCGCGGAAAAGACTATGGAGTCGCTACATTCGCTGTCGTCCCCAACGGGGACTGTCTCGAGAGGTGGACAGACATTCTCGGTGCCGTCGTCGGAGATCGTACCGGGTGACATGGTCGAGCTTAGGACGGGGGATACCGTCCCAGCAGACATTCGGTGAGTTTCCTATCATGATGAAAATGATATTTTGAAACCATTGGGACAGTCGTTGGCCAATTTGCTGACACATATCAGCCTAGTTGAAGCAGTCAATTTCGAGACCGACGAAGCCCTCCTGACTGGCGAGTCTCTTCCCGTCCAGAAGGAATGTGACTTGACGTTCAAAGAGGATACTGGGCCTGGAGACCGCCTCAATA